TTACTTCCGGTAGTGAAACATGAGTCACTCCTATTCAGTCCATTCCTCGACCCACTGACCTCCGCCGCGTCATCCTCCCTCTCCCTCTCGTTCCTTCTCCGCTGGCTTCCCACCGCAGGGTTCCTCCCCTTATCCCTCCTCAAACCGGACATCAACCGGCCAAGGATCGTCCTCGGTGTCGAGCACTCCATCCGTAACCACCTAGTCGCTCTCCTCCCCCTACTATCGTCCATCAGAAAATCAAGAGAAAAGCACCCTTGGCCTCCCTCTTCTTCGTCCTCTTCTTGGAGCAGAGTATCGGCGATTCGCAGAGGAGTAGGTTTTTGTGATTCAATGTGGAATATAGAAGGGTTTAAATCGAAGGGTTTGATCTTCATCGGGAATGAGCTTTTTGGAAATGAAAATGCAAACACGGCAGGGAATTAAATGTGGAGGGTCAGTGAGAAGACTGGGAATGACAGAGCAGAGGCATGAGTGGTTTTTATATGGAGGGAAATGTTCAAATGTTTGAAGATGCTTCCTTTACTTTTTATTTAATTTGCCATAAAAGCCCACATTTCTACTAATTTTAATTTTGAAGCATTACATTTTTATTTTATTAATTTTTACTTTTTTTCCCATTTAGAGAGAAACCCATTTTGTCAAATTTTATATTTTTAGTAAATAGTTAATTTTATTTTAAATTATTTATTTATATATATATATATATATATTATAAAGTAACGAACAAAGAATGGGTGATTAGTATATTAATGGTAATTTTTGCTTGCTAATAAAAATACAAATTTATATCTATTTCATATTTAAAGTACTAACCGAAATATAATTTTAAAAAATATTTAGACATGATAATTCAGTAATAAATATATAATATTAAATATTTATTAATTGAAATATAATTGTAACGCCCAAACAATTGGGCATTTTTGTTATTATATTATTAATTTTATTTATTAAGTTTAATTTAAAAAAAAAAAGAGCGTCACGTCAGCGGCCCAGTCAGCAGCCCTGGCCAACCAGGACCTGCCGCGTGGCAAGACCACGTGGGCGATTCACGTGCGCGCGATCGGACGGCCCAGATTCAATAAAAAACGGACGGCCCAGATTTAATCAAAATGGACAGCTGAGATCAAAAGGCAAAAGGGTATAAATAGAACCCCCACACCTGACCACAAAAACCCTAGTCGCCTGCCCTCGCCGGAGAAGACGAACCAGACGTCGGAGGAGCCGGCCGCCGCCACCCGCCGCTGCACCGGGGAGATTTCTGACCGCCGATCGAGGTTGATCGGAGTCGAATCACCAAAACACGAACCTCGCCGGAGAGCCGCCGCACCCGAGAGCACCGCCGCCGGTACCAGTAGTGCATTTCAGTTCTCCGGAAAAAATTCAGGGAAAATTAGGGACAACCTGTAGGCGCACTGTAGAGCCGTGTTCGGACCCCGAAACGAGTAAGGACCCCTCACCCTATTTCCTATCACGGTATTAAAGTTCAATAATGATAAAACGGTATTTCTTGAATCAACGAATGTGTGAAATTGCTTAAGGTCGCTAATGGAGCCCGAGTCTAGTGTGTTTGTCGATTAACTGTTATTTGGCCTATTTTACAGTTTTAAATGCAGTATGAGGTCTGATGTTTTCATTTCATAGTTTCGTGTGCATATTTTACTGTTTTATTGATTATGAGTTGAATGACTGAGAAACCGATGTTGTATGTTGTCTTGTTTGGCATAAATTACTGTTTTGCTTGTTTGTGTGTGAATTGATGATGCTGACTGAGGAAAAGGGGAATGAAAGGTTATGTAAATTGATAATTGTATAATGTGATCAGTCTGACTAGATATCTTGGGAGATGGTGGACGGACCGGGTCCGTAAGGAACCCTACCGGGATTGTGGTCTCTTATACCGGACGGGGTATGGAGACCCTATGTGTTTTGGCGCCCATACCGGACGGGGTATTGAGGTTTATAGTTTGGCGCCCATACCAGACGGGGTATGGGGACGGCATTGGAATCTGATTACAAGTGTTAAGGGTTCACGGGTAACGGGACCCCTATGGATCCCCATGGATACTAGTAGGCTGGTAAAAGAGGAAAAATATGTTGTGAAATGATTGAATTACAAAAGGCGTGATAAGTATTATGTTATACAGTTTATATGATTTCATGATGATGATAATGTTATTGCTTTCGTATATTGTTTTATAAATTTCACCGAGGTAAGTGAATGGTAAATGTTTTATTATTGATAAAAGGATTTGTTGTAAATTATGCTTCATTGGTCTTTTTGTGTTTTCTACCCACCTTTACCTCCGTGACGGTGAGATATCGTGATGTCTTTACTGGGCTAGTGTAGCTCATTCCTTATTTAATCATTTCAGATCAGGAAGACATTGTTCCTGAGCCCGTCCCGCAGGAAGACGACGAAGGGGACGCCTAAAGACTCCATAGTCATATTCATAGCTTTTACTTTCGAGTTTCTCTTTTAGTTAGTTTGATCTTTTATATTTTGAGCACGTTTTTTGTTTTAATGTAAGGGATGTTAATCGAAATTTTGACTTCGCTTCCGCATTTGACATTTTTAATACACATATTTCATTTTAAATTTCCGGGGCCGTTACAATAATTAAGAATAAAAAATAAAAATTTATTAATTATACATTAAGGGATGGGACTTGTGTGGGATAAATCAATTATTAAATTTAAATTCATTCTATATCCGTTTTAGGTGTATAATTTTTTACTTGATTATGCCTCATACTCTATTAATTTTAAAATTTTACTTACTCTATCCGGAATGAGTTGTACATTTTAGTGTCGGTCCGCTTTAATATATATCTCTTATGTTACATTATTAGTAATGACAAATTATTATATTATAATAGTAATATACGTATAATATTCAGAGCCAACTTTACCAGAACAAGTTTATTGAAACTCAAATTATTTCAAATGATATATATTTCTAGCATATTTCTATTGCAAATTTGCAAAAGAAATACCAACGATAATAAGTACCCCTTTTGTTATTCTTTTCCAATGAATTATTGTTTGTAAAACTATACTAAATTTTTGTTGAATAATTTTTATAATATATTTTTATATCGATAAAATAATTTTATTTTTAAAATATTGTTTATAATAATATTTTATTAACTGTTTTTAAATATAAAAAAATGTCCAAGTACAAACAAACATTTATATTTATGACTGATGTGAATAAAAAGTTTAAGTTACCTTCTTAGATATAGAATAACAATTTATATTGCCTAATGAAGCACTTGTCTAATGGTATGGTTTTAACTCTGCATTTTTTTTATCGATCTTTATTTCTTATGATATGATTTTATTTTAATTTCGTTTTTGGGTTCTGGTCCGAGATTATGATGATCTAGTTTAAATGTCTTTCTATATACATTTGCTCAATAACTATATATTAATAATATGATTAAGAAATAAATACATGTGAATTAATAGTATTTATTTAACCTTTAAATTATAATTTTCAAGGAATAAAATGTCAAATTTAACACTTTAATTTGTTTATTAATTAAAAATAAAAATAAAATTATATCTATACATAATTGTAGAATTACTTACGTTGAGTCAACTACTGGTAAAATTAGTTAGATGTGCTGGTAGGTAATTTCAGTTTTAGATGAAGTGACAGGTAGCTTTAGTATAATGTTTTCTAGTCATACAACTTGTATATAAGGAGAGTTATGTCTCCTAAAAACACAATTAATAAAGAAGTAATTTCTTATTCTGCTTCAATATTTTGAGTTTCTTTACTCTTTATTTTGTTCATGGTATCAGAGCTCTCGATCTACTATTATTGCTTTTTTTAAAGAATTTTCTTGTTAGATCTATTGCATTTTTTATTGTTCTTCTTACTTATTGAATGATGGAAACTGAGAAAGAAATATAGAATCGATCTGCTGAAACAGTAATTGATCACATGAGCATTAAAGATGAAGATTCTTTAAAATTGCAGAGTTCTGATCATCTAAGAATGATTTGGTCACTAATCCACCAACATGTAATAATTATTTGTCTTGGTCACGTGTTATGAAGATTGCATTGGGTGCAAAGATGAAATTAGGGTTTATAAATGGAAAATGTTCTAGGCCAGAAAGTGAATCAATTGAATTTGAGAAGAAGTGGAATCGAGTATATTACATGGTGACTTCCTGGATATTGAATTGTATTTCTAAAGAGATAGTTGAATCTTTCTCTATACAAATTATGTTAGAGGGATAGAATTAGAGGAGAGATTTGGTGAATTTAATGGGTCTTTACTATATCAATTATAAAGAGAAATTGCCTCTATCAGTCAAGGTAATTTGCATATAGTTAAGTACTATAGAAAGTTAAAAAAATTATGGGATGAAGTTAATTGTTTGACATATACTCCTCAATGTACTTGCCAATGTTGTTCTTGTGGTGCTTCTAAAGCAGTTGTTGATATGATTGCATCTACTAGACTGATTTAATTTCTCATGGGACTCAATGACTTCTTTGATCATATGAGGAATCAGATATTGGTAATGGATCATCTACCAACAGTAAACAATGTTTATTCTATGATCTTTAGGGTAAAAAGACAAAGAGATGTGCACAACGTGTTAAATGAAAATACTAAACACAACGCAATGTTAGCAATAAATCAAGTTGCTAGAAGAGGTGTTTTTTTTGGACAACAGCATTCCAATAAAAGCAATAAAGGTGGAAGAAGAAGACGAAATTCATTTAGGAAAAAGACAGATGTGCATTGTAGTTACTGTAATCAAGATGGACATTTGAGAGAATCTTGTTTCTAGCTATATGGTTATCCCGATTGGTATAAGGAGATAAAGGAACATAAATCACAAATAACTGGAAAACGTTATATAAATGCAGTTGATGCTCCATTAGATGATGAGAAGTTACATAATGCAGTGAACGATAATTGGGGAGTAAAGTTGAGTTATATGATCTAAGAGGAATTTAGTGAGTTCATGAAGAATAAAAATGTCCAGGTTAAAGATGTCAACTTTACTCATTTCAAGGATTTTATAGGTTTTGTTGTTTTATATGCACTAAATTTAATTGCCATATGTGTGTAAATCTTATACAGGGGCATCTAGTCATATGTGTGTAGATCTTACACTAATTCATTCATCCACATAGATTATTAAACCTACACCAGTATGTTTACCTGATGCTTCTGTTAAGTTTGTTCATTATATAGGTGATGTACAACTGAATCTTAATCTTATTTTAACAGACATTCTTCATATACATGCCTTCAAATTTAACCTTTATCCATAAACAAATTATCTGTTTCAGCCTTAATTATTGCTTTTT